TACATATACAAATAAAGTAAATATAGAGATTGGGAGAATAAAAAGAAATGACTCAACAAACACATAATTAATACAAAAACACATAAAAATACACAAACATACATTTCATCCAAAAGCCAAGGAATACAGATAAGTTTTCAGGCGGGATTTAAAAACAGGAAGAGAAGGCGCAGATCTAATGTCCATAATGTAATAATTGTTATTACATTATGAGCTCAAGATTTTATTACATTTTGAGAAAGTTTTTACATTATGAACATTTTATTACAATAATAATGTAATACTTATTACATTATGTGCAGTTTTTACATTATGTGCAGTTATTACATTATGAGTTACTACAACACTTAACCTCATTTAGATGACTTTTAGAGTTTTTGTTTTTTGCTTTTTTTGACCCATATGAATGGGACTTAAACAAATCTTTATATTTAATTTCATTATTATTTCCGTTGTCTTTGAAATATGGATAAAGTGCACTGCAGAATGTGCTGACAACACTTTATGGTAAACTAAAATGTACTTCAATGTCATTTCTATTAATAAAAAGTCATGTATTTAAATATATTTGTAATTACACATTTGTAATGATGAAGTTGCAATTTAGTACATATAAAATATATTAACTTTAAAAGTAATATTTAACAATACCCTACAGTTAAACTTGCAATCAAGAACTTTACATGTGCTGTAGTAATATAAGTAAAAACTACTTTACTACTTTACTTTAAAGCACAACAAACATTATTAAAAAAACAATGAATTAAAAAGTACTTGAAAGTCAAACTTTTACAAAGTGCACTTTATTAAAAGAAGCAGTCTTGAAATGTATTCTCTTTAATTACATTAAGTTGTCCTTTATTTCATTAATATTATAGTATCTGCAAGCACAGGTTTGTTTATGTAAAGTATATTTCAAGTACACATTCAATACAATTAAGCACGCTTTTTTTTCACAAGGGTCAGTCGGTCAGTTGACTTTGTCTTTCATTATTTGTGTATGAAAGTCAATAATCAGTTGTTGGTATTTGGTTTTAAAGTATGTTTAAAAAAATCTTTAAATAACTTAATTTTTATTCCCTTCTGCATATACTCTGAATTTGCTTTATTTACTGTTTCTCAGCCATGGCTGAATAAATCAGTGTGTCATCCAGTGCGCTGTGAAGTGGCTGTGGTGTGTTTAAGAGAGATTACAAATCAATGCTTCTCCTGAGCCAGTCCACTGTCAATAGTCTTTCTGATATGTTATCGACACACCTCACATTCAGTGCAGAGCATGCGCTCCAATAAAAACATCACATAACAACAGCATCAAGATGTTCATGATGAAATTGGACCATAAGGACTGTGTGTTTCCCTTGATTTGAAAGGGGTCAGCTTGCAACAGTATATATTTTCACAAACAGGAGTGTAAAAAAAGATTCATAACATTTAAACATTTTATAGACCCCTTTCTACAGCCAACGGTGGGTTTATAAGCACAACCACACATACCGATGGCAGTGGAATATATTCAGAAGTATTGACTAGCTGGTCCAGGGGCCAAATTTTCTGGCCACTCTGGTTAAAATTGATTTCATAAAATTGGTATCGAAAAAAGTATCGTTCAGGAACCGGTCTCGAAGTCAAGGTATCGGTATCGATATCGAAAATCTTTGAACGATACCCAGCCCTACACATGCTTGCCAATAATATTGTACATATATAATTACAATTTAAAATAACTTTTATATTTTAAAATATCTTAAAATGTAATTTATTCAAGTGATGGCAAAGCTAAATTTAGTGGCACACGGTCCTTCAGAAATCATTCTAATACGCTGATTGATGCTCAATTATTAATAATTGTTATTATTATTATCAATGTTGAAAACATTTTTGGTTTCTTAATATTTTCAGAATTCTTTGATAAATAGAAAGTTCAAAAGAGCACCAGAAATGGAAATTGTTTCTAACATTAGAAATGTCTTTATGGTCACTTTTGATCGGTTTATATTGAAACATGATTTCTGAAGGATCATGTGACCCTGAAGACTGGAATAATTGCTGCTAAAAATTCACCTTTGCTATTACAGGAATAAATTATGGTCACACTTTAGTTTGGGGACCAATTCTCACTATTAATTAACTCATAATTTGCTGCTTATTAATAGTTAACAAGGTAGTTGTTAAGTTTAGGTATGGGGTAGGATTAATGGATCTAAAATATGGTCGTGCACAACAATATATGAATAACTGCAGAGTTATTACTAGCCAATATACTAGTAATGTGCATGTTAATAATAAGCAGCTAGTTAATAGTAAGAATTGATCCTTAAAGTGTTTCCTAAATTACATTTTAATATATTAAAAAACTGTAAATTGTAGTAATGTTTCACAATATTACTGTTTTCATTGTTTTTAGTCAAATAAATAAGAGACTTCTTTCAGAAACATTAGATCTTAATTTTTCCCCAAACTTTTGACCAATAGTGTATATTTATATCATTAAGGGAATAAATTAATTAATTGACAGCAGTACTGGAACCACCAACTGTTATTTTACCTGCAATGTTGGCAAATAGCTCTAAATATGTAATGAAGTGTCACCAGGAAGCACAACAAAAAATGAGCTTTAATTACAGAATTTAACGAAGGTCAAAGTAAATGAGAAGCAATGGGGTGATGAGATACAAGCAATGAGATACAATACTGCAATCACAGACATTCCTATCTGGGAAAATAGATTTCTCAGAGGACTGTCGGGTTTGTTGAAAAACATTGGGCAATTCGCTCTTTAATTTTTACAGAGGTTGTGCAAGCAAAACACCAACATGTTTGATTCAGACAAGGTTAGTATGTCTGAAAGACAAATTTACCTGACCACTTTAGGGAAAACTGATCCTGTTCAAAATTTAAAGAGATATGCGTCTATCAATCAATCGAAGTAAAAAGTAAAATGAGCTTTCGTCCAGATCATTATTAATTTATTCAGATTTTTCAGCAATTTTAATTTGGTTTAAAAATGTTGAATTATGTTCAAATGTTGTAAATATTTGAAACTTTAAACTGAATAAATAATTGTAATCATTCTAGCTGTTGGCACACATTTTAAGGCTTGGTTTTGGTCTGATCAAGTTCTCTTTTAGAAGGTTTTCCTTTTAAAAGTCAAAATGTCCTGTCATCTTCCCCAAGGACCTTTTTCTGTGATCTTAAGCATAGAGAGTGTTCCTTTTCATTTCTGAGTGCAGAGGTTATTTTAAATATGGTGCTACGGAAGTCGTTTTATAAATGAAGCCACCAGGTGACTCTTTGGAATGTTTAGAGGTGATCTAAAATAAAAAATAAATAAAAGGACAGTTTGTGTAAAGGCCTGAGTTAAATGAAAATACATCTTTGAATCTGTATGAGCTCTCTCAGCCAAACTGTCCTTGACGTACTAATAAACTTTCAGAACTGACAACCTACCCAGTCCTATACAATACCATTTATTGAAACTAAAATGCAAAAATGACTCAAAAAAACTTTCTGACAAGACATAAATCAGAAACTTGACTTGCCAAGTCAAGGTGAAAGCAAGATAAATATGATTAATCCTAAAAAGCAAAAGAACTCACGTTTAAATGTGTAAAGGTTAACCAAACCTTGTGCTGTTTTTGTGTATCAACTGCTGCCTTTAGATCCTTGTAAAGAATCTTGTTGATATAAACCAAAGGGTGAAGTTCATTTTAAACAAGATGTCTGATTATTTCCGTCTGACCTCAACTGAATCACCCAAAATTAAAAATTTGCTGAAAATGTACAGGCTATCCAAGATGTAGAGCTTGTTTCTTTATCAGAACAGATTTGGAGAAATGTAGCACTACATCACTTGCTCACCAATGGATCCTCTGCAGTGAATGAGTGCCGTCAGAATGAGAGTCCAAACAGCTGACAAAAACATCACAATAATTCACAAGTAATCCACATGACTCCAGTTCATCAATGAATGTCTTCTATGCAAAAACTACATGTTCGTAATAAACAAACTCAGCATAAATGTGTTTTTAAACTTCAGACAAACCCTATATCCAAAATATCGCTTTCTCAGGTGAAAAAGTTATCTCGTCTGAATTAGGAGAGAAATATGCACAGATGAAATACTGATTATAAGCAAAATCATTTCTAAACCAATATATCAGTGGATTTTGAAGTGAGAGGACAACCGCAGGGTTTACATTTTCACTATAAGCATTATTATAGATTATGGACTCGTATTTTGGCCAGAAGCATCAGTTTAAAGTTAATGATGGACTTGTTTCTTACAAACATGCAGCTTTTCGCTTCACAAGACACTGGTGTTGTTTGGATTGATTGTTGTGAGGTTTTGTGATCAGCTGTTTGGACTCTCATTCTGACGGCACCCATTCACTGCACAGAATCCATTGGCGAGCAAATGATGTAATGCTAAATTTCTCCAAATCTGTTCAGATGAAGAAAAAAACTCATCTATATCTCTGATGGCCTGAGAGTAAGTTTTAAAAAAAAAATTCATTTTTGGGTGAACTATTGCTTTAACAACTATATTTGACAGAAACCATGGACCAAAGAACTGTTGATGTAATGCTAAATTTCTCCAAATCTGTTCAGATGAAGAAAAAAACTAATCTATATCTCTGATGGCCTGAGAGTAAGTTTAAAAAAAAAAAATCATTTTTGGGTGAACTATTGCTTTAACAACTATATTTGACAGAAACCATGGACCAAAGAACTGTTACACCTGCAAAGGGGCATTTCTTAAAGCCACAGCAGCAAAAACCCTGAATGTTTCTAAGTGTTTCTAAGAGAGGGTGAAAACAAAAACAACTTACTCATATTATAAATGGACCTCAGGGTGAAAAAAATGTGATAATAAAATCTGTATGATATGACTCCTTTAAAGTTCTCCATGCACACTGTAAATGTCATCCCCAGTAAACCCCTCCTGGCCTATCCATCAAATTTTGATTGCAGCGTGTTTGTGTTTCTATCCATTTCTCTAGATTTTTATATTTGAGAATAACATCTACTATCGGGCCACTGTGGAGAACAGATCCATCCGTCTTGTTTCCACTGGGAAGGAGGGTGTGATATTCAACGGTCTGAGCGACTGGCTCTATGAAGGTATGAAAGATTTGTATAAAAACATGGACATTTGTATTAATGCCTTGCAAAGTTCAATGAGGTTTTGTCAGGACAAGTATTGGCCAGAAAAAGTGTTGTCTTTCTCGAGACCTGAGAGCTAAGGTGAACATTCAACAAATCAAAAGCAAGTATGCATCTTTAAAGAGTACAATGTACTGTAATCTACATGAAACAAGTTGCGTCTGATGTAGAAGAGGCAGATTTTGATGGTGATAGATATTGTTAAAGAGGCAGATATGATGGTGATAGATTCTGTGCATTGTCAAAGAATCAAAGCAAGGAAAATCAATATCCCAGCATCTCCCAGAATGCACCACTATCCTTGGACAAGACTCAGCGGTTGTGGATTTTAGCTTAGTGTGCTGTGAGTCTCCCATTTAAACTTTAATCTGGGCTCATATTGAGGAGACTGACCCTTGGCATGAGTTTATGAGGCGCCGAAGGTCTCGAAATTGACACTTATTATTTATTGAAGGGGATGAATGTATTAAAGAGAGCAGAGACTCATCCTGACCTATTTCTGATGCTCCTGATCTCAGTCTCTTTGCTTCGGTTTTCAGTATGTATGATTTATCTTTCTGTTAGTCATCCACCATATTTGCATTCTTTGTTTTGTTTTTGTTTTTTACACATTGATTGGGGTAGTTTTGGCTCAGCGATTCTGATTGGATGACCCACATTCAAAGCCATTGTAAAACAGCTATTAATCACACACCTGTGATGTCATTTGAATTCTATATTAATGCGCCAAGTTTCTTGGTAACCCTAAACAGACTATGTTACGGAGAGAACAGAGGAAGCGTGTGGATACATATGCAAGCTTTTATTAAACAGAGACATGGTCATAACAGGCAAGGATCGACACTGGCAAACAAGGTTGAACAGGGCTAGACAAAAGAGCATTCTTAACACAGGCGTGGGTCATAACATCGGCGAACGTTATCCAAAGGGCAGAGCAAAGGGGTAATCCAAAACAGGCTAGAGTCCAGGCGAGAAGCATACAGTATCCAACCGGGATGCGACGACAGGGGTAATCCAGAGCAAGGGAAATCCAGGGCAGGCAGAGAACACACAGAAACGAGATACACAGGCTAGGATATAAACACGGGAAAATCAGGCAAAGAACAAGACTAGATTAGACTAAGAAAACTAGAGCAGGCTCTGTAAAGTAGCTATCAGCTATGGTAGCGATATGTGCTTACAATACTCGGCTCTGAGTGGTGGTTAGGACCTCGTATTTATAGTGTGTGTGATTGGCTACAGGTGAGAGTGTGATTAGTGAAATGGAAATGTAGTCCAGGGTGACGTGTAACAGTCTGTGTAGTATGAAAGTCAATGTAATCAGAAGGTGACTTCTGGTGGCGAGCGGACGGAAGACCACGGGCAGGTTTCGTGACAGACTAAAGGGTGAACTCCATCATGCTGAAATCATTCTTTGAGATTTCAAATATACAGCACATCTGGGTGCATTGGATATGTATACATATGTGCAAATGCATAATAGTTTATATTAGTTAAATATATTAAATGCAATTAGCTGAACTTATAGTGCCTTTTTGACTTAAAGTAAGACTTCAGTACAACTTTGTATGTCATTTCATAATTACTTATTGTCTTTGAAATGTGGTTAAAGTGTACTGCTGAATGTACTGATATGCATTTATGGTAAACTAAAATATACTTTAATGTGTTTTCTTTTGAACCCTGCATGTGATGTATTTTAATAGATTTGTAATTACACATTTGTAAAGATGAAGTTGCAATTTAGTACATTTAAAGTATTTAACGTATATTAACTTTAAAGTAAAATGCTTTAGTAGATTAATCAACAAATCATATATACTATATATATATATATATATATATATATTATTATTATTTTTATTATTATTAATAATAATAATATATACAATAAGTTTGCAAGACTTTTTTTTCAAGTGAAGTTAACAAATCATCCAAAGGGAATGAGCATTATATACATTATTTCTGATAAAAATTCACAATTCCACCTTTCTTTATTGTGGCTGCTAATAATCTATGAAGACTTCTTAATGCATAGCGAGTTCCTGCTGACATGCTATTGCATTTTTTGCCATGAACGTGTAGTCTAGTAAAAGAGCAGTATCACAGTAAGCTTGGAGTGAGCCAAATGAGGAGGGGGAAACACACTCTACACTCTATAGGCTGTAATACAGAAACTTCCTATCTTGATTCTGGACTTAAGATTTGAATAAATGAAATTACCATGGTTATTAAAAAGATAGAATAGGATACTGAGTTAGTTTCTGTAATACAGCCCCAGGACTCCAAATCTCAGATCTCTTTTTCCAGTCTGTGCTGCCCACATAGTGATCCAACCTGTTGGTTCAAGTTTACATGTGCCCCATGGAGCCTCTCTGAACTGTCCTTGACTTCCTGTCCATGGGTTTTAAGGTCAGTCATTGTTCATGTGAATGGCTCACAGCAGTCGAGTTCACCCGCAGATCCTCTGAATGATTAATGCATCGTCAAGCTTTGTGCAGTCTGAGGCTGTTGAATACAAATTCAGAGTCTGTTCTGTGTTTGGAGGAGAACAGGTGGCCATGCATTCATTGACGATGGAGTTTATGCCTGCTGGACCCTTCTGGATATGGAGTTCCCTGATGTGCTTTGGGAAAGGTTAATGTATGTTAATTCAGATTACCCATGCCAACCAAAAAAGGCCTAAAACAACCGATATCCATCATTACAAGAGCAGTTTAATTCCTCCAGCTGTATGGAGTTGCATTAAAGTCGAACGATCCACAGTGTTCATTTACTTAATGTGATTTGAAAGTGGCTGAAAGTTATTATGAGGAAAGTGTTCTAATCAACTTCGCCCCTACACATTCCCCTTTCTGTTTTTTTTTGGAGATCAAGAATGTAGATTGTTGCATTGTTGTGAGTATGCTTTCTTAGAGTAGTTCATCACTTTGCAGAGAGGATATTAATTACCTCAATCAGTCTGCATAATCAATGCTGAGTTTTAATTACGCCTGGATAATCAGTGAACCGCATGTAGTTCTTGCTGTGGCAGACCACGTCTGCTCTAATGAAGATCATGAAATGAACCCTGCAAGAAGCTCGCAGTAAGGCGCACTTCTTGCATCCTTGCAGCATTCGCTTCTGCGTGTTTGCAAGATCGTAGGATGTCCCGTTTGCCGTTTCATGATTCAGAAATTTGCTCACAAATTACTGCTGTCCTTTTTGGACAATTCACTTCAGCAGTGCAGACTTCATAGCAACATTGAAAGTGTAAAGAAGCCTGATTTTTGTTTTATTTTGAAATATAAAAAAACACTAAAAACGTTTGGGAGCCTATTCAAATATTTAGTTCTAAAGTTATTTGCAATCAAAAATTTGGCTGTTTGAGACACTCCCCTAGAACAATTTTTTCAAGAATCCAGTGATGAGGCTGGTGGAGTTTTTATTTTTAATAGAATTTTTTTAATTAAAAGAGTAATCAGTCAAAGGCAACATTAATATGACTCGTTATTTTAAATGTCCTGTATTTGAAAGGATGGATATTGTACGTTTTTGCAGCTAGTGCATGACACTGTGGTGGCTAACCACATTAAATGAAAACAATTAAGACAAAACTAGCTAATCTTCTGTTTGTAATTATAATCCAGAAAATGTATTTCTCAAGTGAATTTTTAAGGAACAATGCAGTCTCTAATATGCCCACTAAACTAAGTATACAGTGAACCTCCTAATTTTGTCAGTTTATGAACTTGAGTGTTTAGAAGATTTAGCTCCTAATAGCTAATATTTATCTTATTGGAACTTTTCAGATATCTATCAGAAACATGTACAAATTTATAGGTGGGCTTAGGGTTACTTCTTCATAATGGTGTAATTGTAATGGAACAATTCACCAAAAAAATAAAATTTGCTGAAAATTTAGATTTGAGTTTTTTTTTTCTTTTTTTTCTGAGTTTGTTTTTTCATTGGAACAGATTTGGAGAAATTTAGTAAATTAATACATCACTTGCTCAGCAATGGATCCTCTGCAGTGAATGGGTGCCGTCAGAATGAGAGTCCAACAGCTGATAAAAACATCACAATAATCCACAAGTAATTCACATGAGTCCAGTCTATCAATGTCTTGTGAAGTGAAAGCTGTGCATTTGTAAGAAACAAATCCATCAAGACATTTTATTTTTAAACCATTGTTTCTGGCCATAGTGCATAATAATGCTTCCTGATGCCCTCTCACATTAAAATCCACTGACATACTTGTTTAGGACTGTTTTCACTTGTAGATAGTCCTTGATCTGTGCATATTTCTCTCCTGATTCAGATAAGACAACTAGTGAAAATAATGGATAGAGGACTTGTAGCCACAAACAACAGTTTCAAGTTAAAAATGACTTAATAATGTATTTGTTTCATACAAACACGCAGCTTTTCACTTCACACTTAAATGATGGATTGGAGTGGTGTGGGTTACTTGTGGATTATTGTAATGTTTTTTTTATCAGCTGTTTGGACTCTCATTCTGACGGCACCCATTCACTGCAAATGATCCAATGGTGAGCAAGTGATGTAATGCTAAGTTTCTCCAAATCTGTGCAGATAAAGAAACAAACCCATCTACATCTTGCATAGCCTGAGGGTGAGTACATTTTCAGCAAATTTTCATTTTTGGGTGAACCATTCCTTTAAGCACTAAATCTGGCAGAACCTCCAGCACTCCAGACAGATTTGTAGACGTTTATGACAGACCTCCCTATACACCTCACAGCAGTATGCTGCTGCCCAGCATATCTCGCCTTTCATTTGCATTAAGTTCAGCAGTTTCCGATGTTTTTGACTCTCTCACAATTTGCTTTGCACTACTGTCAATCCCACAATCCCTCGTACAAGCCTGCCATTCAGCTTCCATAGAGAATTCACTGAAAATGCTGCTCATTCTGTGGCAGTGAACATGTATGTTAAGAAAGCCAAACTTCACCATC